CAAGGATTTAGTTAGAGGTTTATGATCCGTATATATCGTAAAAGAATTGCCTTCTAACATATACCGAAAGTGTTTGATGGCTAGGTAGACAGCTAACAGTTCTCTACCGAATGTGCTATATTTTGTTTGCGTTGCGTTTAGCTTTTTTGAGAAAAATGCAAGGGGTTGCCATTGTTGATCGACATGTTGTTGAAGCACAGCGCCTACTGCTACATTAGAGGCATCGGTCATTACTGCTAAAGGTGCATCAACCTTTCGACGTACTAGTAATGCCTCAGTGCTTAATGTGCTTTTTAACTGTTCAAATGCTTGAATTGCTTGCGGTGTCATTGTCAATGATTTAGCTCGTCCCCTTAATAAATCAGTTAGCGGTTTTGCTATGTCTGCACATTTCGGAATAAAACGTCTGTAAAAGTTGATCATCCCAAGGAAACGTCGTAGTTTCTTGAATGAATCAGGTAAAGGATAATTTTTGATGGCTTGTGTTTCCTCAGGAACTGGTTTGATGCCTTGACTATCAATTACGTGACCTAAAAAGGTGAGGGATTGTTTTCCGGACTCACATTTGTCAGGGTTGACTGTTAACCCATACTCGTTTAGCTTCTCAAAAAGCATTTTCAGATGAGTTAGATGTTCATTTTCATTTTTGCTTGCGATAAGAAGGTCATCTATGTAAGCGTATACGAAAGGTAAGCCACGTACTACTTGGTCGATAAAACGCTGGAAACTTTGTGCAGCATTCCTTAATCCGAAAGGCATGCGAACAAATTCGTATAATCCAAATGAGGTAGTAATGGCTGTTTTGGGAACGTCGTCCGGGTGAATTGGAATGTGATGGTAAGCGCGGACGAGATCAACTTTTGAAAAAATCGTCACATCAGATAGACTATGAGTGAAGTCATGCAAATGTGGAAGTGGATATCTGTCTGGTATAGTAAGGCTGTTGAGAGCTCTATAGTCACCGCACGGTCTAACTTCGGAAGAGTTTTTCTTGGGTACCAAATGGAGCGGTGATGCCCACGGACTATCGGAGGGGCGTATGATACCCAACTCTATCATTTTGTTGAATTCGTTCTTTGCTAGAGCCAAACGAGAGGGGTCAAGGCGTCTTGGACGTGCGAACACTGGTGGACCCTCTGTCTTTATATGATGTACGACGGTATGTGTCAGTTTATCCCGTTTGAAATTCGGTCGTAATAAGTCTGGAAACTGATTCAGTAAACTAACGTACTTGTCATTCTCGCGATGAGGTTTGATCAATAAATGTATGGACGTCTCGTTAGAAATAATCCCTCTAATTTCGCTGCTATGGTCAGCAAGGACAAGTTTCCGATTTCTTACATCTACGAGTATTTTATGGGATTGTAAAAAATCAATGCCGATTATAGGAATGAGGACGTCAGCTATGATGAAGTTCCATGAAAAATTGGATTTAGGACCGAATTTTAATTGTAACTGCCTTTTGCCGTACGTCTTGATCTCAGATCTGTTTGCGGCTTGTAGTTTTAGTTTGGGGTCAGGTGTGTTTTTTCTCAAGTGTAGTGGGTGGTACTACACTAACCTCTGCCCCAGTGTCGACTAAGAACTGTGTTCCAGTCCTTTTGTCTGTAACATATAACAAGCGACTGCTTTGAGAGTTGTGTTCAGCGACTGCAGTCGTCATTAACCGACGTTCATGATGGTCTCTTTGTTGTGTGCTTGCGAAATTACAGGGAGGAGTACATTTTTTAGCTTGCTTACCGTACGTTTTATGGTACCAACAAATGTTATGTCGAGTGGTGCTTGGACTACGACTTTTACGGCTTCTGGACCTTCCTTTCCGCTTGCTGTGGGAGGTATTCAAAAATTGGAGCTGAGCTATCTGATTAGCGAGGACTTCGACTGTTCGTCGCAACTCGGCGATCTCGTCAGATGAGTTTGATTGTATGTGAGATACGGAGTGCGTCCTAGTTCGCTCGTAAATTCTATCGGCTATATCTGCTAGCTTATCAAAATCTATATCCTCGTCTCCGATCGCTAGTATCTGTTGGATGTTTTGTGGGAGACGTCTGAGCCACAATTGATACAATAAACGTTTATCTACTGTACGATTCCCCAATGAATTTGTCATGTGGCGTTTCAATTGAGATGGTGTACTGTCACCTAGCTCTACATTAGCTAAAATTTGATCAATTGTTTGCTGGTCGGTGAGAGATGTAACACGAATGACCTCTCTTTTTAGACAATCGTATGGTGAGTTTGGATCCGGTTTAAAAATGACGTCAGACACTTGTTCTATAACATCGTCTGGCAGCAATGAGTTTGCATAACTAAATTTTGTGTTCTGATTTGTGATTCTGTTTGCAACAAAAAAGCTTTCTTAGCGTGCAAACCACAGTTCGGCCTTTCGGGGATTAAAGACAGGTAAAGGTACAGAGATGGCACCCACGGAAATAGACTTAGATGAAGGGCTTGGTGAATTATCAAGTGACATGATACGAAGAAATAATAACAATAGCAATAATAATAAGCTGAGGATTGAAATATATGATATGAATAAGTCGAAAATAACAACAAGAAATATATATGAGACTCACCGAAAACAAATGTCACTTTGAGTTTAAATAGGCAAATATAAAGTAATAATTCCAAAGCAACAATGTTATAGATGAATTTACTGACTGTCAATGTATTGTTAATAATTGCAATAGTAATTCCAATATGAAGTTCTTTATGATTGGAGAATATGCAGCAGACTTTGTAGAGAAACAGGCGCGTGTTCTAAATGCGGCTCACCAAATTGTAGAGGTTAACCAAGTTTGTTGAGATAAATTTCCTCTATATTCGACTCCAAATAAAGATATCTCATTAACCGAGTATTTAATACAGGCTTAATCTCCTAGTAGAATTATCGATTTACTCGAGATCATTAAAAAGCCCAAAAATCAGTTATAGAGATAGTTTATTGTGAAAGCTTGGTAAAGTCCGCAAGCATACAGCAAGCAAGCACCGAGTGAGTCAAAAATCAAAGTGTGTGTGTCTGTGTTAAAAGATTCCTATATATTTTTGAGTATCAATCAAGTGTAGATAAATTATTGATTATCTGTGTCACAACCAATGGGGAATAGAATAGGGATTGAAGTGCAGACACACGCTCAATCATACTCATATGGAAATTAACACAGTTGTGTAGACAAATAATACATTAATGGAATGGGCTTGCTACAAGCTACACGTAGGAATTCTAGAATATTCTTCCGAAAGGTGATTGGATGGAATATCTTCGGCTCCTTCTGAGCCTCTTACAGCTTCCTCGTGTTCACCCGTGGTCCGTCATCACAAGTTTCATTCAAAAACGTTTTTTTAAGATTAATAGTTATCAGGTTTGCCGTTAGTTGAGCATATTTGGTCCAGGCATTTTAAGGGTTTTATACACTGTCCTCTTAATTCAAGTGAACTTATCAATGACCATAAAAATGTCTGGGTAACATTTACAATCCCTAGAATATTTTTTAAAATGTTCTTCGAACTTTGGTATCATTCATATTACTGCGTCAATTATAACAAGTGGTATGAAAAAGACATAGTTTATTGAGTATATGGGTTTTTCCTCATCTATTTCTAACAACTAGTTATATGGCTTTTAAGTGGACAGTACTATACTTTAAATTTATATATTTTATAACGTAGATGATAATTAATATCTACTACACTCAGTGTGCACCAATGGTAATCAATTTAGTTTATAGTATGCATACCGAAATCTCATCACTTTTCAGCTGATCAAAAAGGAACAGGATATTTATATCAATCCATTGTGGTCAACCGAAAATTCTTACAATGAAAGTTTTTATCCACTCTCTGTGATGTGTATTTGAAATGGTATGCAAAGATTTGAAGTGATTATGCCACTATACCGTTGGCAGATTCGTCGTCTGAAGGTGGATAGTCTATATATGGAAGAAATTTAGTAATCTTCACTACTGCTTACCCACTGAAGATTCTCTTAATATTTGGTTCCTAGGTTCATAAATGGAGTTGTGATAAAATTTGGTATAGATCAATTGATGAAGTTATGTACTTGAACCATCAAATACACTGACTCATCATATGATGTGCATACGTGCTTTAAAATATGGTTGATATTACCTAGACTTAGACTGGGTGAAACAAATTACAAACATTTCAGATCAAAATTTATGGTACTAGTATTTAAAATAACAAGAACTAGCAACTTCTTATATATAATAGAAATCAATGTTTATTGAATTCATATGGATTATTAAAAATAATGTACTCACTATTGTTCTGTTTTTAGGTGAGTCAATTTTGATTGATACATTGTGTCACTAGATGTTGTTACAAATTCTTTAGGTATCTTTTGACTGGCTTTATACAAACTCTCAGCAAGCACCTATATATATATATATATATATATATATATATATATATATATATATATATATATATTTCACAATAGTTATATTCTCTGTCCACTATGTGAAGCACTATATTCGTTTCTAAAAATTTTTTTCACTATTAATGAACGCCTAAGTAATTCATGGATTTCTTATTAGTTTCAATCTACATAGATTAGTTTTAAATAAATTGAACATCGCGTAGAAAGTTAATAATTAATATACTTTTTGTCGTATTCCAATGAGTAGGGAATCGTATTTCTCATGTTTTGTAACTTAATGTGAGACACTTCTTCAGAGTGACTTACACTGAGTCGCGAAACGTCAGAAATACAATTTTCTACTCATTGGCATATTATAAAATAAAATATTTATTACTACACAGATTAGATTTTTCTAGTATACTGGTTTTGAAATTAGAGCGTTCGATGTTATGTTCCGTGCATATCCAATCGGTAATGAGGAAATTAGCCTTCTTGATATATGTAGTGTGAAGCCTCATTGTTTAAGACACTTCTTTACAAATTTCAGGATTTTATTCTCTTCTTGATTCTAGTTTTCGAAAAAATATTTTTATTGTGCTTTATGTTTATTCACTTGTAGGATTTATCTTTACTGGCCAAAGAAGTACATCGTTTACGTGATCAAATTTCTGAACGAGAAGAAGAAATTGTTGAACTGAAATCGGAAAGAAATAATACAAGGGTATGTTGTTCCTCATATTTATTTAGTTATATTTTTATATTTTCATAAGCTTAAACTTAATCTATTAGCTGGTGATTGTTGATGGTGAGTGATGTGGATGCGTTCACTCCCTATCTTCCTTTTAGTCCTAGGTTTTAAACTTGTCCTATTCTTTTTCAACGAATTCATTCTTTTCGAATCATATTGTTTTCGTTTAATCATTTCTCACAAAACTGATATTGTCACTAACTCTACTATTCTTGTATTAATCCTGCTCTTTTGTTGTAGTGTAACAACTTGAAAAAATCCAGATATACACCAGGTTCTTAGCTGCTTATGACTTATTAGGCTTCTAACCACATTATAACTGTGTGAATTACTTTCTGGAACATACATTTTAGAACAAAGATACTTATAATTTTCGGGTAATCTGGGCATCTATGGATATACTGTGTCTGATTGTTACACTGACCTGTAGTTTTTACAGACTTCTCCAGTGATCAATTTTTAAAATTTGATGTGTATGATATTTAATCATATTTTCAAATCACGATTATCAAAATTTTTGACACTTATTTGTGTAAACCTTCTTTAAACATTTATTTCAGTTACTCTAAGATTCACCGCTTCATACTCATGTATTACATTTAATCATTAGGATTAAAAGCATAAAAACCGTATATCTTAATTTTCTGTTGATTATACCAGTTCACTGAACTTTATGAATATGTAAAATAACCAATCTTTAACTGACAGATAACTAGTATCCCTCTAAAGAGAATGTTATCATTACTAATTGTTTGTTAATACTATTTTTGTTAGTGACCATAGAACAGGCTGTAACTCGATTAAGATAGTGTGTGTTTAATTTCATTTAAGTCAGTTTATGAATAGTGTACAATTGCATGTTATAAAGAAGTGAATAAATGATAATGTTGATGATCATGAGGAAAGGATAACAAAGTCGATAAACTGTTTGATTTTTATTGTGTTAAATAAATAATCCAGTATATCTCGTTTTATTGTTAATAACAACTTAGGTGGTAGATAACTTTCCTCAATTTTTATATAGTGAATGGGTTTTGCTACTTTTAATATAAGATGAATCTTTAAATTCTATGTATTTTATTAGTTAAGGGAGTTTTTAGTGACTTTTAGGTTTTTAAAGTCTATATCACGGAGTGATCTTAGTTAGGCAACTACTGAAAACCAGAGAGCAATGAATAACTTTTGTCCTAATCTGGGACTCCTCACTAGTACACATACATATATTTTTACTTTGGATCAAACTCTGGACGTTTGGATTTCCTGTCGAGCTTTTTAAATGATTGAGTCAGGGTTTAATAGTGTGTATATCTGGTTTAAATTAATTCACCAACTCACTGGTATGAATGTTAGGCTCATGCAATACAGGCTGCAAGTTCTGGATTTAATAGTTTGTGGGATGGTCTATGTGTTGAGGATTTCTGTACTCTTATAAAACAACTCTACAGCGCTTCTTGGTTTTCAATGGTTATCTAAGGTTGATTTATCATATTGTAGTGTATAAAATATTTCAATTAATCAAATATATGTTATTCCTTATTTTATTGACAGAATAAAATCTCTTTCCTTTTTTATTATTGTTTTTTAAATGATTTATCTCAGCTTCTTTTAGAACATTTAGAATGTTTAGTTGCTAGACATGAACGTTCATTAAGAATGACAGTTGTAAAACGACAAGTAAATAGTCCTGGTGGTGTTAGTTCTGAAGTCGAAGTATTAAAAGCATTAAAATCATTATTTGAACATCATAAAGCATTAGACGAACGTGTACGTGAACGTTTACGTACAGCATTAGAACGTGGTGCACAATTAGAAGAAGAAGTACGTTCATCTGCTGCTGATCGTGCTGCATTAAGAGAACAATTAGCTGCAGCATTAGCTGGTGTAGCTGCTGCTGCAACAGCAGTTCAACAAAGACAACAACAACAAATTGTATCAACTGTGAATGGGAATGGAAATGGTAAGTTTTATTTTTAAAAATATTTAATTTTGGCTCATTATCATTGTTTGTTTCTTTCCAGCATTATTCATTTATTCGTCATTAGAAGTTAAATATTTTAATTTCTAGTACCTGAGTAATTATCATTTAGGTATTTGTTTTCTGTTGAGAAACATTCATAGAAATGTTACATATAAACTTTTAACTTTTTAACTTAATCTACTATAATTAAGACATGCTCATGATAGAAAGATAAACTTCAAGTAAGTCCTGAGAGATAAGTGAATTAGTGGAAATTGTTGTGATTTGAATTAACGGAGTGAAAAATAGAATTAAGTACTGATGCTGATAGTAGTGGAAAGTAGAAGAAGAAGCAGTAAAGAGTAAGCTAAAAGAATCAATAACAATTGGTTATTGAAAAATACGCATAATTTAAATGGCTGATCTTTTTTTAATAACTCACTTCTACTCCTGCAGATATAACACAATGAAGTAGTTGGTAGCTTGGTGTTGTGAAGGAGTCTTTTTAACAATTGATAATACGAAATTCCTCTGTTGCTATAATCAACGAGTGGAATGTTAGTCGTTGAATGATGTGGCTGAATGATGGATATTTACTAAACTGTAGTACTGACACAAATACTTGAGTGACTAAAAATCAAGAAAACCAGAGTTCGGATGAATAGGACTTTTGTGTTAAAATATTTATGTACAATCTAAAATGTTATAGGTAGTTGGAAGAAATTAACATGTAGGTCATTCGTTCTTCACTTTGTTCAAGGTCTGACTGTTATGCTTAATTTTCAAACATCATATCACTTAGCTGGTATAGATAATTCTTTTCTCAACTATTGTATCGGTAACAATTAATTGTCTCATAAACTGACGGACTAACTAGCCAAGTATATATATATATATATATATATATATATATATATATATATTCAATAGTTCGAATATACACCGGAAAATTTACAACGAAATTTTATAATCATTGCAATCAATTGGGTTGATTTTTGATATTATATGATGGAAAGTCAAAATTATATTGATTTGCTGATTATGATCTTTGTTCAACATTACTTCCGTTTTAATTCAATGTGCTGATTACTGAATGTAGTGTTTGTTTTGTTTTCTCGTATGATATTTTATTCTGTATAATATACAATATTCTTGTATTCAATTGATATGAACTATGCTAAGTATGTGATTTGTTATAACTTTGAGTATTTTTCATATATGTGATTTCATCCTAATTATTAATCAAAATGAGTGTATTTTCGACTAGAGTCGTCGTCGTGTTTCAGGGTTACTAGCCGAGCTTAGCAGCCGGATCTGGCGTTCAAAAAGAAGACCTATCCATTTTATTTTTAATTCACATAAAATACATTACGGTTAGTAGAGTTAAATAAAAAAAGAAAAATGACAATTGTCAGTGTAAACAGAATATACCCATTGAGATATCAAATAAGAAAGATTGGTTCAGCGAAGAATTCCCTTTGGGACGAATTTATTTTCAAGGCTGAACAATCGCAAATGTCTACTAATTTTTTTCGAAATGGTATTATTAACAACTATAGTCATCATAAACATGTAATAGTAAAGTAGCATAAAGAAAAGTATAAAAAACGTTATTTTTGTTCAGGAAACCAATAATAATTTTGTTGCTAACAGCTTGAATATTCATTGTGAAATTCAGATGAACTGTAATCAAGAGGATCATGGGGAAATAAAAACAAATCAACTTGCTGCTAAAATGTTTGTAGAGAAGATCGAAAGGAATTAGATGGATATGATTCACTAGTTTTGCCTTTATTAAAGTTCTTTTAATAAATTATAACACAAATGAATGTGTTAAATAATTTGAGTCTAGCTTTTTTGGTCAGTATCTGCTAAAATTCATTAAATACCTGTGTTGCCTAACATTAAATGTTCATAAAGTTTATATGATTTGTAATTTCTTTTTGTCTTTAAATCAGTTGATTCTAATCATACCACACAAATCAGTAAAGATGATATTGATGGAAATGATGTAGGCAATAAACTAGCCTCATTACCTCCAGGTGGGCCACCAATCACATCAAAAGATTCAAACGATGAAAGTTCATCAGCAGTGAATTCTTCAGAAAATTCCGGTGTAAAAACAGTTGCATCCGTTGCTGCAGCTGCAGCGGCTGCTGCTGCGAGTGCTGTAGCTGTTGAACGTAAACTTGTTGAAGTCACTACAAAATCTAGAGATTTAGAAGCATCTAATACAACATTACAAAAAGAATTATCACGTGCTCATGATCAGGTAAATGTGACTCGTATTTTTTTGCTTCGCTTACTTGTTTGTTGTACTTTTTTGTTGCACTTTTATCGTTTATAATTTAGTGTTCAATGAAAATGTTTCACGCTTGTAGCCTGTTATAAATTGTGGCCTTTGTACCCAGTTTAATATATGACACGATACGATCGCTAATTGGAGTCACCGACGTATTGACCGGACCAATGACGCATAAACCAGTACTAGCAGCCTGGAATCCCCATTGATCCTAGCGGTTGTAGCTTCTCGCCTAACCGGCCGGTTGAATCCAGAACGCATATATCAACCTGCGTTATATCGAATAATATGTCAAACATGGTTTAAATTCACTTGATGTTGTTTTATTTGTATCTTCCCATTGTTATTTAGGACTGAAATTGATCAGTCTCATGGTGGCATATGTGCATCCTGTGCGGTCTGCCTCAATATAGCCTTAAGTCACAAGTTTTTTAAGCAAAGATAGATAGTGACTAGCAGTGGAATCCAGGACGTATGTTTCGTCCTATTTGGGGCTCGCCAATTGGATGTACCTGGTTTATATACAAGCAAAATCAGAGCACATCACACCATAAAATAGGAAATAACATTTGTACAAGTTCAAGGCAACAGTGGCTGTGATTGTGAGAAAACGTTACTAATAGATTGAGAATAACCTGGGAATAATAAATCATAACTGTAACCAATAGGTCAAATATTAAGAGGAATATAAGTATTTATAGTTTAGTTTCTTAGCAGTTAAATAATGAGCATATATGTATAATATTAATCCACACATAGTTCTCAGAAGTCAAATCCTAAATAATGATTTACACAGTATTACTTCATTAAAAATTTTTAATGACTGAAGTATATGACGATAGCTTCTAATTGTGTTTACATTTGAACTAAATATTTATTATCGTTCAAGAATCTAATCTAAATCATTCAGTTACTCACCAACCATTTTGGATATACTTAAATTCAATTTGAATGGGGATAAATGACCCCATGTCATGAAATCACGTTCATCTCCAGCACCTGTTCCAATCTGTCTTTTACTGTTATTTACACTACCAACTAACATTATTCTAAATAGTTTCATAATTTCTGATTACTGTTTTATCTATACTAAATTATCAATAGATGAAATATGAGCATTAATGTGAACAAGCAACAGTGCTATAGATATATTCTCTAGCCTAATGTGAAACAACCTAGACTAAACTAGTTTTTAAAAATATTTATCGAAACTATCGATGAACTGTTATTAACTTGTCAAAATATTTTCACATTAGAAAAAGGTTTAAAAGTTTAACTGAACTAATAATAATAATAATAATAATAATAATAATAATAATAATAATAATAATAATAATAGTAATAATGGTAATAAAGCATGAAAGAGCAATGATAATGAATAAAAAGATATTTTTATATTTCTCATCCCCTTAATATTTTATTTCATCCATGATGAAATTATCCAATTTAATGATGAGTATTACTTTTGCAATGTATGAAAATTTTAATTTTTAGAAGTTTGATTGAAATAAATACACTGTAAAAATAGTCACTCGTGAATCTAAATAACAGAATCATTCAAACTCGCATTTAATGATGATATAAATAGTATATTCGTTAAATAAGTCAGAGGTCATTAGAGCTTAATAGCAACGCAGTTGATCAGTTGTTTGATACAAAAGTTCATGGGTTTGAATTCCAATGTGAGTATGAACACTGGAATGTGGAAGTTACATCCAGCTGATGAGTCGTAAATTGAACGGAACATACGTTCTGGATACCCTACCGTTAGTCATAATCTATTTATTCTGTTATATAGAATTTGAAATTTTGCTATACCGCGTACAACCTAAGCACTCGAACTCTCAAACCATCCAAGTTGCAGGTAAGAAGACAGAAGACGAGTGGGGAGGAGTCTTATTACAAACAGTGTCAAATATGATGCAAAAACACTTGGGTACTTATAGTTTTTAATAAAAACGTCATCATCATTACAATCACCCAATCCTCATGCAGTGGTGCTTAGCATTTGTCCAATCGGGAAGGAACGTGTCGTGAATATGGAGTGTAATTTTAAACGATGATTAGATGGAATGTCTTCGGCCGTCTCCACATATTATATAATAGTATTATCGTTTTTTATTTGGTTCACTTTATATATATCTCAGAAACTGATTTCAAAATACCTTAAATTTGTTTTCGTCGTGAACCAATATCAACTGGAGGATTTTTTGAAATTAGGAAGTATTATGTGGGTTTTTTTAATAGTTTTTAACTTCCCAAATAGCGTGTTCTCATAACTCTGAATCTTGAACCTTCAGGGTTTGTGGAAACTATGATGCTTTCAGGTCATTAAATTAATAACCTGTGTTTCACATTTTCGCAATGTTGTGTAATGACATTCCATTAACAATCATGATGTTTGCCGTACTATTGACGTATTTGAACTGTAAGTTTAACTTCTTTGTAAGTTGAAATTAAGGTGAATTGGATAGTTCCTCAAGTATGTACAGTTCATACATCGATGGATTGCCGTTAGTATCAAATTTTGCAAACTGAATTAATTTGGTGTTTGTTTCAACACTTAATTTAACAACTAATATTCAGGAGTCTAGACTAGAAAAATTATCGACATTTATGGGGACCACTTTACGCATTCAATTAGAAATAAGTACTATATTTTTTGGGAGAAAAACGCGTTTGTATGATTATTTAGTAGTAAGGTTACCAAAATTAAAGAAGTATAGTCTTATTTTTTCAGATTTCTCGTTTACAAAGAGAATTACGAGAGTTGGAAGCTCAACGTGAAGATCAAGAAGCCCGTATTGCAACTTTGGAACAACGTTATCTTGCTACACAACGTGAAGCTACCGGGACGTTGGATAGACTTAGTAGAGCTCAGTCAGAATTGATTACACGTGAAATTGAATTGAAACAAGTAAGGGAGAACAAACAGTTTGTGAATGTACTAACTTAGTTTAATTTTGAACTATATGTTAGTCTATTGTCGATGTTCTTGTTTGCGTTTTTTAGTATGACTCATTTTTACGAAAAGAGATTCTCAACTCCATGCTCTAACCTCCCTTTTTTCGGGCTTGAGATCGGCAGTGTGTTTAAAGGGTCCCTGTGGGAGTTTGTTGTCGATGTCACATTCTTCAGGTGTATAAGTAATATGAAAAACAATTGGGAACTAGTATATAACTGTTTATTACTCTAAATACAATATCACCTTTATTCGTGTATCTTTTTTCAATCTCAACTTCAAACCATAATTACTTTAAATGTGATATTTATTTTGGTTTGGTCCTTACCTTCTCATTTGGTTTATTCTTAAAGTTATATGATTGAATAATGCTTGATTTTATTATTTTACTTTTTTCAAGTTTAGATGTTGTTCAATTCCACTTACGATGTAGTTAAAGACACCCAGGTTTGTATTATGTGATGACTTTTGGAGAATAGGATGTAGAATAATTTTGTAAATGTAAGTCGATAGTACTATGAAGTGCTAAGGGGTTATAAGTGGACTTGGAACATGGTTTCCAACTGATTGCGATTTGTCAGCATAACATCGCCATTCTTCGGAGTCATTCTGCTCTCTGTTGGGTTCGTATTCATATCGTTTTGTTTCACACTCTGAAATATCTCTAATCAGTCAAATAAACAAATAATATATTTAGCCAGTTGCTTTATGAAGAAATTTGAAAATATGAATTTATTTGCTTCACTATAACTGATTTTGTAGCCGTATATTTTTAACTAGAGTTTACTCTTACTGCTCTGAAACTTACCTAAATATCAGAAATTCCTAACGTGTTGGAATTGTGCCGCTCTCGGCCTCATCGATCGATACTTTTTCGTGGTCTGTCGATCACTCATCTCTTTCGCTAGACAATGATAAACTATTTTTATACTTTATAAGGCAATGTGAGAATCTACAGATTGGACGTCAGTCTTTTAAAGGTTAGATGATTCGATAGCCACCTAAAGTGACGTATCTATGGCAAGATTACATAAAATATAATGAGGGTAATCATGACGATCTCCGGTTAACGTGAGGAATTCATACGGTAGTTCTACACCAAATCCGACTTGGTCGATAATATTCGAGTGGGAATGTTTATAGATATATATTCACGGAGAGAGATATAAAGAAATCTGCTTTTCCATAAAAAATTATTTTCTTCTACTGCTTGACATTTTTTGTGTAGTTTCAGTTTAATATTATCGGGTCGGATGAAATTTTTAGTTAAATGTTTGTAACAGTAGAAATGTTTTTTGTGTGTTAAAACTATCTTGTCTCTGTGTTCATGAGAGAAGACAAGTTTCAATATAGATTGTGAGTATGACATTTTTAATCCTTTTTTTAAGTTCCGGAAGAATGCAACCATAAACTTAAATTTATTGATTTTGACTGTAATGGTTGCTTAGGCACTAGTTATAGCTAATTCCTTTTTCTAATCGATGTATGGTATATTAACTAGCTAGGATAATGTATTTCCAAAAAAGATATTGTGCATGTATGACAAGATATATGGTCTGTTTATACTTTTCATATGATTCTTTATCACGTGGATATGTCTGGTCTACTTTTTAGCTACATATCTTTGAATTGATTTGTCGTTTAGTTTTCTCAGTGTATAACCGTACAACGTTTAGGTCAAATCCCATGATGCTTTCTCGAATTTGGTTCAATTAAACTGTTGTGAGCCATTAGTGTTTATTGTACTGTTAATTCATGCAAATGAGTCTGAATAAATGATAGTCTTAATATAGTTTCGTTGTAGATGATTTGTTGTGAGTGACTTACCAACACTTTATTCTTTCGCGTTTAAATTGTTTTCTGGTTAATTATTGGAAAATAAATTGATCATACTATAAATCTCATAGTGACTTTTGGTGGCGTTAGACCTTCTGAGCTGGATATTTCATAGTGAAACGCTTTTATTATCTGCGTTTATTTCATAAATGTTAAGGTTTATCTCATAGGTGTCAACTTATTTCGGTTTATTGATTTTGTTTGTGACCGGTTGTTCCCAGAAGTTTTGTTATCTTCGTGCATATTTGCTTTCTTGTTGGCTATTTTCCTGACTTTCACCTTACATGGTAATAGATCATATCAATATCAATGTATCTATTTATTGCAAAATAATCTGACTGCCAGATTCCCCTCAATCCTTAATTTTAACATTTTCTCAGTCGAATTCTTGCTTATCATTTGTCCCCATTCATTGACCTTTTACATTATCACGTCAATAATCTGATGAATAGTGTATACTCAGTCATTCAGTCAGTCATAATTAACGGAGAGCCTGGAACAAGTTTGAGTCGGACCAAGTTGCCACAGTACATTAGCACGACTGGATAAAATTAACATTATAGATAGTAAAGGAATTCAAATAATTTAGTGGCTGTGGTAGCGAGAGAGAATAGTCACTGAGATTGTGGTTTTAGCAAACGGGTTGAAAAGATATATATGAAGGGATTATAGAACTGTGGATCTAGAGAATGGTAGAAAGTAAATGAATTTTCGTATGACTATGGCTGCTACCTTAACGTGCTGGTCGGTCTTGGATATCGTGATGAGTCAAATGACCTATATTGCCTGGAACATTCGTTCCTCTAAATCTTAACATTATTAGCAGATTAGTTGATAAGAAGTAGGGTCGAAAGCATAAAAATCGCAGCATCTGCATCAACTCTGCTTTCTCATATCTAGTGAAGTGGGCTTAGAATAGATCGGCCCTAAAGACAGTACACTTTACGTTACTCCATAGATTTCCAACTTCCTTTGGGCACTTCATTCATTCTCTTACGTCTTCAAAATCACTCCATAATCCTTTTTTTAACGTACCGCAAGAATAAATAACTTTCAACTGTATGTACAAGTTCGAAAGGAAGACTGACCTCTTACCCTTAACTTCTTCGTTCACAATCAAATCATATCTTCATTGTGTTTTAGTATACACTGGTTTCGAGCGTACTTGTTGGTCATAATTGATCAATGAAAACTGAGCGAATGGGTAAATGAGCGAGAGAGCAAGAGATAAAGTACTACTGTACAATTTCTTAATCGACAAATCTAATAATTTTATAATCATTTACTTTATGGTAGTCAAAGCTATATCTTTACATTACTATGACCATTCTATGTTTATTTTTTTCTATCACTTCAATTATACAATAATAATAAAGGCAAAAGATCATGCAAATCATTTGGTTAGCGAATTAGAAACAGTACAAAACGAATTAGCCATTGTCAAAGTGAATACAATGCAACAAAATGAAAAAGTGAATACACCTACAACTGTAACAACAACATCAACTCTAATGCATACAGCTGTAGAAAATGGTGGTGAATTTATTGAATCTATCGAAAATGAAACTATTTCTGATGATGAGAAAGCTATTAAAAACGGCAAAAGTTCTCATTTAATTAATGACAACAACAGTAACAATAATAATCCTAACGTAACAGTTGTTGATGAATTGCGTGTACAATTATCTACAGCTGAAGAACGTATTAAAGATATGGAAGTTGAAATGAATGAAATCCAGTCAGAATTACAAAGAGCTAGACAACGTGAACAATTAAATGAGGATCATAGTTCACGTTTAACTGCGACGGTATGTTTACTGAATGTTTGAATTTATCATAACATATATAGGAATCGTGGTATAGATTGATGTTAGCCTTGTTTTAATTTCAACCATTTATATACCCTACATAATTGGATCTACCGGACTATCAGGTCTATTAATGATATTTTCATTTTGAAACCGATCAAACTAATGATTATTTCCTCCTTAATTAATAACACCAATAATCTTGAATAGTGACTGAAGATTCAAACTCCAATTAACTCATATAATTTCTTTAGTCCCTAATGGCCAATCAGAACACTAAGATACCAAACAGATTTACCTCTTATTACTGTGTATATTATCATCTTGACTGAAAAACCTCTAAGGATTACATATATCAGTTAGATGATCACAACTTACTACAAATAAGAAAAATCCTAATTTGTGCATAAAAATACTGAGCAATAGATATGTGGTATATACTACTTATGTTGACAGATATAAGTAGTATGTATCATCAATTAGGAAAGGAATGCCTAGGAATCAGAGAGCAGAACTGAATGAATCGTGCAACATGTTAAGGACAACTAAAGCAAGTTGTGCAAATAATGAATCTAATGTATAATTTTTATACTTTACAAAAGCACTCGGTAATTTTAGATTAAGCAATTAATTGATTATTTCCACCTAAGTTCACGTTCACCACAGATGTATAATTATTTGACCATAATTACGAAACAGTAAAACACAAAACAGGATTGAATAATTGAAATGAAATTTAACGATAAAAAAATATAACAATACCTCAAACTACGTATTTTATAAAACATACGCCATACATATAATAGCACCGCTTATTACCAAGACGAGATGGTTTGAAACAATACGAAGAATAGATATAACCTTAGTTTATAAATAATGAAGGTTATTAATCTGTCATAAAAGATCTACAATATTTAAAAAGTTGTAAGGCACGCTCTTTATTGGCGAATTTAACGAAGCAACTTTTTTTGTTAGAAAAGGTTGGAGATATATCACTTACTATAATTTGATATCTAGGATGAGTTACACTTACGTAATTAATACTTATTTTAAATAATAAAGCTGAACTTATTTTCTTCAGAATTTCCTCCAGCCTGATTGTTTTTATCTATAATTTGTTTTATCGTTTAAAAGGTTGACAAATTACTATTGGAATCTAATGAACGATTACAGACACATTTACGTGAAAAAATGGCCGCATTAGAAGAGAAAAATCAATTACATACAGAATTAGATCGTCTTAGACGTCTTTTAGAAACAAGTCAAACAGAACGAGATCGAGCTCTAGCCGATATGGAACGATTAAGACGTAGTTCCGCTACAACAACGCCAACTGCACTTGCTTTACAAGGTACAGATTGATTATCAGGCTTATGTCATGATTATTTTAGTTATTGCTGATAGCCAACATTAGACAGTGAATTTGATGTTATCAATTATGTAACAAGAACAAAAATGTAGATCGTACCACTATTCGCGTTCGTCTAAGATTGGATCAATGACTTAAAAATGGTTTCGTGATACAATTTTCTCAAGTCACTAAGTTTTCAATTTTTTCAAACACTGGTAGTAAGATAAAGAATAATGGAACTGAAATAATTAATCGTTTGAGAGAAAAAACAGTAAAATAAATGTAGATCGCATAATTATTTTTTGATACTGTGGAGTATTAGAGAAATCATATCGATATTAAACTCCATATTGAGAGAGCAATTGGATTATGCCATATTAATCTCATTAGAATTTCATTAACACTGATAAGGAATTTTGAAAAATACAAGCTGGAAATATATATTATTGTGTAAAAACACAGCGAAACAGTTAGACTTAGAGAAATTATTTGAAGATTTCTAGTTTTATTCTACTACTGAAGGACGAATATGCAAATGAAGTTTTTCCTATTGTATCACTCGGTGATTTTACTTTACCAATAATAAAATTCTTTTCATTAGTTTAATTTCCAGGTAGTATTCATCACAGGTTGATCTTATTTTGCGTACCATTGAAAACCAGATAAAAGTGAATATGTCTTGTTTTATTATGGAACTCCTCAGCAGTGTCCACCTACGACATCACTAGGTATTGGACTCAGGATCTTCAGATATTTTTCTGTTAACGCCTAATCAATAGAACCAATTGGTCAGGATCAAGTTTTGCCGTTTCAATTTCAGTTAACTTGTTATTTACCTTGACGATTATCCAATGCTCTTGGAAATAACTCTCTATCTCTCGACCTATCTAAACTCTACATATTGCAATATCTCACTAGGAATTCAGGAACATCTTAGAGTCCCATACTACGACAAAATAGATTTCCGATGAACCTTGATTTTTAACGATAACCTAAATGTGATCGATCTTTGATGAATACTATTTAGAAATTAAATCAATCTCCACAAAATCCTTTCGAATAAATTGTTTTCACTAATGTTATTTTCCTTTCAATGTCAGGTGACTCGTATTCCAGTGGTTCTCATAGCCTTCGTAGAATGCCTCGTAATGCTTCCAGCAGTAGAACTGATCAAGTATGTCGTTGTTTTATGTTTCGAATATTATGTATAGAGCACCAACATAAACCTAATATCATAGTGTATCGGTTTTTCTTCTGTAAAACACAAAAATAGCCAAATATGCAATTCAACAGCATTTGTCTTTTTTAATGGTACTATATTATCTAATTATCAGTATTAATAAACTTATAACAATTTCCAAAATTAGGTTTTCAATGTTTACTATTGCCTTTTAATCACTGGTTGACAAAATCTTTTAAGTTTTCAGGTTTAAACTATATGTCATCATCTGGAAGCTGATTTTGTTTACTTGATAAAATCATGTATAGGACACAAACTATTACTTAACTCGATTAGCAAGAATATTTTACACTAGAGAACTGAGTAATAACGTCTTCAAAATCAAATAGAACACAAATTTTAGAGATAATTCTTTTCTGTTATCTATCTTCAGTTGAGACATATATACCCAATACATTTTACTCATCCACACTAAAAAAATGATTTATCAAATAGTTTTCGATATCATGAAATGTTTATGTCATTCTCTACTGTTATTATGACTGACTGAAAAAGTTTGTATACTAAATACACATAGTATTCTAGTCAAGTAACGTTGTAATCTATGGCAGAATATATGTATAGTCTTTTGATTAATACATTTTGTGATATTTTTAAATCATCTTTCGTAAATCCTTTATGGGTGGTTTTTGTGTAAGCTCCGTACTTGTTGAGACCTTGCCACCGGAGACGGATATCCGTGGGATAAGGCGAGGTGTGCATTTTTAGGGTCGACCTTTTCTAACCCCTCCCCTCCTTTTGGGAAGGCAGCATCGCTGTTATGCTGGGTGTCTGAAGGAAACACCTTACTGCTGTCACACCTCTGTACAGTCAGCAGTACGACTTCGCCTTCGGACCTAGGTTTTGTTGCTTTTAGTCTTACCGCTCTTCAACCGACCTGTCTGGCATGTTAGGACCTTGAGGAATGGTTGTTTCAGCCAGTACTGCTCAGTTGCCTCATCACGATAGGCAAGCCCGACCACCACGTCAAGGTAGCAATAGCGGTCGGTAATAATCGATAATTATCGGACGCCTAACTAAGACTCGTGAACTGCAAACACGAGAGTATCAAGCTGACTTCAGACCTGGTTATGGATGCATAGACCACATATTCACCATTCGTCAGGTTCTAGAACACAGGCATACTTATCGGCGTCCGACAATAGTGGTCTTCCTTGATTTAAAAGCAGCGTTTGACTCTGTTGACCGAGAGGTTCTGTGGCAGTGTCTGTCATTGAAAGGCGTACCTCAGAAGTACATAAACCTTGTGAAAGCTCTTTACTCGAACACTACTAGTCGAGTGAGGGCTTATGGCGAACTGTCATCTGCTTTCGCAACGTCAAGTGGCGTCCGCCAAGGCTGTCCACTTTCTCCATTTTTGTTCAACTTCATCATAGATCTACTGATGGAAATAACGCTCTCATCGACTGACTTCTCGGGTATTGATCTCCTACCAGGAGGTCCACTTATTGACTTAGAATACGCAGATGACATAGTCCTGTTTGGTGAAGACGCTGATGAAATGCAGAGTCTTTTGGTAGGACTGAACAATAATGCCAGAATGTTTGGGATGCGCTTCTCTCCCTCCAAATGCAAGTTGTTGCTTCAGGACTGGTCTGCGTCAACACCTGAACTAAGGATAGGGGGTGAAGTAGTCGAACGCGTCGACAACTTCACTTATCTTGGAAGTCCGATCAGCCCTAATGAGTTGGTGTCTGACGAAATCTCAGCACGGATTCGAAAAGCTCGTTTGGCCTTTGCCAACGTACGTCATCTATGGCGAAGGCGAGATATCCGTCTATCAATTAAGGGACGAGTATACTGCGCAGCAGTTCGTTCCGTTCTACTATACGGCTGTGAAACATGGCCATTAAGAGTAGAAGATACTCGTAAGTTACTAGTATTTGACCACATGTGCCTTAGAAATATTGCTGGTATCTGCTGGGATCACCGGGTAAATAATAGTGAGGTTAGACGCAGAGTATTAGGGAATGATGATAAATAAGTTGATGAGGTTATGAATCTTCATGGACTGAGATGGTTGGGTCGGTGTATACACTCTCTGTCTTCCTTTAAACTAAGAGATTAAAATCACTTCATATCTTTCTACGAACTAATTTTTTATTCCTGTACTATCTCCTTATATGCAATCTTTCTTTCATATGTTACCACCACTGAATTAACTACTTCTATGAATCCTGTGCTCATCTTGTTGTGCTAATGTGATATGGCAACTTGGACCGATGCATATATGTGCCTGGTCCTACGTTACAGCTGACTGACTGACTGAAGTCCTTTATAGTATTTTAACTCATAAAATGTGGATGTACTATGCTTTATTATTATTGGAGATGAGATTTCAGAGTGTTTATAATATATATCACGGGGACTATATAGTTACTTTGCATATTAAAAAAGTGTACGCATGATTATGCATTTATTAATTCCATAATATATTTATATTTGGAAATTCTATCATTTTCGTGTGGGTGGAATTTTTGCGAAACTTATTTTATTACATTGAGATCTGATTAATTGAAGTTGTGGTTGTTTTTAATTAGAAAATAATTGTATTCTTTCTATGAAACTAAGCATTGTACTCATCATACGTTTTATTTGCATTTTATGTACCATTCTAATATTATTAAACATTTACGTTTTTAGTCAATATGTTGTCATATATTTATATAGTAGTTATTTACAAATATCGTGATTTTATTGTTTTATAGGCGTCACAAACAGTGATTGAATAAATTACCATCCGTACTCGGAATAGGTGTGATTTTAAATACTACATTTTTAACCAGTTGTCAGCCACAATAATTCATAAGTATACTACATTTTTATACTTTAATTGAACTTTATGTGATCTCATGACAATGAGCGTGAAGATTGTAAAGAGGTTTAATTTTTATGCTTACTGGTAACTTTACTATTAGATCAGACAGGCTAACGATTTAATGGAATAGTAACTGGGTGTAAGTTTGTTACATATGCTATGTTAAACTATATTACCTTCGTATTTAGACGGGTTTATAGTTGTGCTTGAGTAGAAATCAAATCTTCATGTACTGACTAACAACAAAGTCCTTAATTCATTGAGTTATAATATCGTAGTATTCACTTCAAACTATTTGCGTTTCAGATGTCTATATAATTATTTCAAAATGAAATCCATTTCTCGATCAATTTTCCGTCGATTGTATTACCTGTCTGTCCTCGAAATGAGTCTGTCTTCTAGAATACATACAACTGAAGATAATCGGATAAGACCACATCAACTACTGAAGCATTGATGCATTGCTCAATTTAGTTAGATCTAGTTTAATTAGCGAAAAAAATAAGTTGCAATACCATCATAATGAATCAAACTAGTTGTCGATTACTTACATCAATATTTATTATTCTGTATTTAGTCATTTATGTTTCGTTTTTCTAAATTTAATTGTTAAATGATCTTTGTCTACACCAATTCTGTTTATTATAAGAACCTCTTATCTGCCCTTAGGCATCTAGGCAGCAACTGTAGCCCCCTAGGTTTTGTGATTCTTGGCATTTTATCGATGCTTTACACACTTTAGAAAATTAACTTTCATAGCTCTGACTATAACGTCGTGTGGCTTCTTTTTGTAACGCAGTTACGGGGTGTTGCTTGACAGGTTTTCTTAATATTTAGCTATTTCCACTGAAATTCTAATATACAATATGCATTAAATGAATTAATGAATAATCCATTATTTTACCAATGTAGTTCAATTATCATTATGAATTTGGTTGTCATGTGATACGTATTATTGATAGTAAATATGTTTCCAGAGAAATGAGAAAATTCATAATTAATTATTTTTATTGAACTATGTCTAATAAGCATATTTGATTGGCATATATTTTTTAATATTCTGACTGTGAATATTAATGAACAGGTTCGTAGATATTGTTAAATTCTATAGTTTACATCACAAACTGATCGTAGTCAGAGAACTAGTGAGAACCAGGAAGCCTTTGTCGGCTGTTTCGCTTCAGCACGAGGCTCCTCAGCAGTGTGTATTCACGATCTCACCAAGAATCGAACCCAGAACCTCGAGGCATCGAGGAGAGCGCTAATCCTTTAAACCATTAGTTTGACACCCAATAGTTTACATTTCTCACTTCAGTCAGTTCACATTATTCGCCAGCCATGTTTTCGTGACTAGAAATAATCTTTTTCCTCTTATATTTTGACAATTAATAAAAACATTTTGAAGAAAGGTAAGTTTCATGATTAAATGCAAAATTGTAGACTTTTGATTTTTATACACTCGACATTTAGAGAGAAATTCGGGCGGTCTATAAGAAAAAAATAATATTGAGAACAACAATAGTCACATCAGAATAAATCATGAATTCTCATTTATCTTTCGTGAATTCTTTTTAAATGCTTACAACCTAAACACAAAATAGTATAAATCATTAAAAATAAAACAAATTTACACTTATTTTGTATCAGATATGTATGGGTTAGATTACGTTAGAAATATGAAGAGTTTTGGATAATGAAAACTAACCGTAGTTGTTGAGAGACTAAAAAATGTTCGTTCGATTTTTAATCTAAAAAAGTACTAGATAAAAATTAAACCAAAGCATTGAAATAAAATTTTGGATACAGCAAAATGATCTCGTAGGTTATGTAATAATAAATGAAAGAAACAATATAAACTTGATAAGTGAAACTCAGATATAAAACAAAAGAGAGTAAAGAAAATTATAATTTAAGGCATGTGATAAAAAAGGTTGGTATTTAGCTAATCCAAAAGTTCAGTACAATTAATATTACTATTGATACATTCAAAATACAAGTTGACTCGCGAAATACTTATTTTCAATTAGTTCTTTATCAAAAAACTAATAAATGTAGGTTTTACGGTTAAGTATAAAATCTATATCAAATAAATATTTTTAAGCAGAGATGGGTAGTG